AGCTCGCCTGGCAGCACTGAAGCATTGGCCATGCTGTGGAGGAGAGGGAAGGTCACCCTGCAGCTCTTTGCCACAGCACAATTTAGAGCAGCGCTTTTTCTAAAAGGGATCTCCGACTGTGCAGAATTCAAGTCTAAAAAAAGCTGCAGCTATATATTTTACCACCTGTCCGACAGAGTGTGAAGGAAGTTCCAATAGCACAAGTGGAACTACGACAACGAAAACCAATTATTAGAATAAAAAGGCTATATATCAACAGTGATAGAGCTTGCTTTAGCTGCGAATACCCTAAGTACGCCGGTGTGAGGCGAGTGAGCTGCTGAGTGGTTGTTGCGGTGGTGATGGTCAGCATATCCTCCGAGTCACATTTCTCCCAGTCATAAGGGTCATTCTCCAGCACGCTGTGGCTCTTCATCGCACTTTCAAACACTGACATCAGGAGCTGCCACAGAGAACACACAAGCGTCAGCATTTGACAGCCAAACAGTGTGTGCAAAATATGCCAACCGAGCGATAGGCCCACCTGATAGTCTGGCTTAGTGAAGTAGTCCAATATCAAGATGTGGTCCAGGAAAGTACTAAACTCTGTGGGAAGGTGCTTGAGCATGAGTCGGTGGTCATACGTGTCTTTCAGATTTCCTACTTGTTCCTGAGAGCAGAGAGGGATGAAATAAGAGTTTTGAATGGATACACATAGTGTGAATTATGAATCGATGCTGTCTCATACATAGAGGCACATACTTTGTCTTTGATTTTCCTCCAGGGCAGCTGACCAACCGTGAACTCAACCAGCATGTAGAAGAGGGACCACAAGTCATCGTGACGACCCATCTCCTACAAATTACAACACGCAAATGTGAGTAATTTCAAGGCCAAAATAATATGTGAATAGTATACATGTGTTTGGTCCACGCTCACCTTATTCTTATGAGCATTGACTGAAGCATATCGCACAGTTCCTCTGAAGCCTGCCACGGGACGAGGCTGAAAGAGAATCGCGACACAATATAATAAAAGATAATATGGATAACAGCAATGTTTCCACCAAGTTTATTGGTACTAAATGACATGCTGAGGTGTTTATAAACACTGTGTTGAAGGCAACTGGATTGTCTGTTAATCTTAAAAGACATCTCCCAGTCCCGAGCATTTAAACCTTTTTGGGATGTCACATGAGGTCACATAGCAGCCATGTGAAAGTTGTCACATGAATTAAATGTGTACATTGTGTGCCTTTAACTCAGTGTTTCTATATATACTTTCACCAGGATGACTCCATAGTGCTGTAAGAGTAAGTTATATCATAGAGTATATCTAATTTTAATTTATTTCGGAGCATTCTTTAAGAACACTTTTCTGGGTTAACATGCTAGACCAAACCTCTAAGGGGTTGACAGAGTAAGCTTTTCTCTGACAATAAGTAACTTGTGAAAACATTTCTTCAAGGAAGTTTACACAGAGTACTTACTGGACGGACTTCCTGGCTGGAGTTGGTAAACTGACGGGCCAAGCCGAAATCAAGCATATAGCAGCATCTGCAGGTACTGGCTAGTCTTCCCATTGCAAAGTTAGACTATCATTTTAACAACACAGAAAAAGACAAGCATGTTTAGGGGGAAACCGAGTGTCATACAAAAATAAATTGACAAACCATCAAGAGTTTCAGGTCAACTTACAGGTTTAATGTCTCGGTGCAGGAAGCCTACAGAGTGGATGCTTTCAATGGCCTCTAAGATCTGCTTGCAAAGCCTTAAAGTTGTGGAAATGGAAAAGGTGCCGCGGGCCATGGTTCTACGCAAATCTGCCAGATTCCTCCCCTGAAGACAGAATCAGTGTTCAGCATGGCACCTTTATGACGCGGTGATCAGGTGTCAGCAACAAACTAAATACTTGACGAACACTGACTCCTAAAAAAATCCTACCTGGAGTTCCATCACCACATAGTTGAAGCGATCATTTCGCCCACAGCCCACAAAGCGACAGACGTGGTCTTTGCCTGTTAAAGAAACATGAATCGTTTCAACAGAATTGCACTGCTAGATAACACATTGTGTCCGTCTGCTGACATCATTCATTTAGGACACACCTTTTCTATCTATATAAGGCCGTTATCTACTAACACAATTGACAAAATGCGTAATGATATTTGGTGTTATCAATTCTTGGGGGGGGGGGAGAAACTGTGCTACTTTGTAATTCTCGAGGAAAAGTCTGTGACAAAGGGATAGCATCACTCACCCTGAAGCTTCTTCAGCACAGCCACCTCCATCTTCAGCACCTGTTTGGGTTGTTGAGCAGACTCCACCTTTAAGGCAACAGTGGCCTGGCTCAACTGATCCAAAACCTCGTAGATCTCCCCAAACCCACCTCCTCCTATCTTCCTCGTCTGAAAAGAAAGGGAATATTCATTGTCAGCCCAAAGTGTCGTTATGGAGAAATCACTGCTCTTCATTTAGGGCGATCTGTTTGTTACTTCTTTTTTTTTTTAAACGTGATTTTGTGACTTTCTCTTACCACTTTCCATCTGTCTCTGACCACGTCTGCCACTGACAGGATGTCTGTGTGCTCTCCAGCCCCACTCATCCTGAGTGCTCTCAGCTACAACCTGCACCTGGCATCAGTGGCGCAAACCTCTCACTAAAAAAAAAAAACAGGGAACAGATTTTAAAATTCAGGTCCATTTTCTCTCTTTGAAAAATCACTGCACTCTGCACGCTACTGGGGCGTGCAGAAGATGAAGCATCACTTGTTTTCACATGTTACTGTGCCTGGCAGAGACAAGGAGCAGAATGCCATTTAAACGGCTACATGGGTTAGCTAACCGTACACCGCACGTCTTAATTAATGATACAAGACGCTAACAGATGCTAGATGGTCGCGAAAAGATAGCAAGTTAGCATTGTTTGACTCGGACAAAACACAACGAGCACTAGTCACAAACGGCCATAACCCGAGTTTTTGAGAGATTAGCCTTTAGGGTGATAATCTATCTATGTAACGTCTGTGGTCCTGTAAACAAGCTAACTAGCATGTACACTGAACATAACCGTTAATGTTACAGCGAGCCTGTCTTGACCTCGTACCTCGCTCCGTTGCACCATTGCGATCCAAGTTAAAATCCAAACAGCCCCCATGATGCTCCCAATCTGGTTGTTAGCTAGCAAGGTCATTCCCAGTAGTTGTTTATTTTAGAAATGAGAGAATAGTGATGATGGACCATAGCTGACGTTAGCTACAGTTAGCCACCAGCTAGCCTGCTAATGGATGAGGAGTGAGGAGTGATGCCCCGTGCTCTGCCTCACGGCAGCGGCGGTGACGTCACAGCTCTAGTCTCCTGATTGATCCGCAAACTCTATAAAAAAAAAACTCCTCAGTCACTGCATCCCTGAGACACTGAACCACTGCACATACAACACGAAGCACAGGCTAAATGAGTGTGGTCCAAACTGCGCAAAGGACAGTGGAAGGTACACTGCATCGCCAGCACTGTTGGGTCACCATTCAAACTGATCAGTTCGTCGTTGTCGAATAACATAAACCATATAAGCAGAAAGGGCGTTGCAGGGATTTCTGGTGCTCCTGATGAAATATTGATAGCCCTCCACCCCCATATACCTCCCCACCACTGGCCAGCAGTTGGTGGAGGAAGTACTCAGACCTTCTGAGGTAGGCAAAAAGTGACAATACTACAGTGTATAAATACTCTGTTGCAGGTCAAAACCACGCATTAAAGATTTGACTTAAGTACAAAAGTATTAGCATCAAAATATACTTTCAATATAATGTATATTATTGGGTTATAATTATTGACGTATCAATATGTACGTTGCTGTAATGTTGCAGGGGGTAAAGGTGAATTCATTTCATACTGTAAATCAATAAAGTCTATACATTATAATTTATTTATGATTATAATTTGTATTATTAATCTGAATATTCAAATGAACTAAAAGTATCAAATACATGTATAGGAGTAAAATATGTCCCCCTGAATTGTAAGTACAATATCTCGCATAACAAGTTAGTTACTTTCCACCACTGACGCTCAAGTACACACAAAACAAATAATTTACACCTCTAAACATTGGAATGAAGTTCATTCAAGTTTGACTTGCAATTCTTATTGAGGCCTTGTTCACATGGTAGCACTGTGTGAAAAAAGGCTGCCCCACACTAACTTAAATGGAACATGGGAGCAGGAAAAAAGGTTGAACTTGGCTCAACTTTCTTGCAACAAACTGCAAAGTCATTTGGCAAACTCATATGTGCTGCACTGGCCAATCAAATAAGTACAAACATACATTCCATCTTAATTATCTTGTAATAGCTCCAGACCTGTGCTCATTCCCATCCCTGCACAATGAGATATACGAGCCATCCCAATGCCCCTTGGAGGTTGCAGTCTGATGAGGCAGCGAAGCGATCCTGACATGACACTTTTCTCCCGTCAGCTGTGCCTTGAAATTGTATTCAGAAAGAAACCAGGCACAAACCTGACAGGCCTCGTGGACACAGCTCTGGCTGTGCTTATGCAAAGAAAATACATGTTTTGATGGATGTGTTTCCATTTCAGCCTTGTCAAAGCAAATATTTTACTTGTCAAAATAGGAATTCCTTTGATTAACATATATATATATATATATTTATTTATTTCTATTTTTTTAACTATTTGCTGTGAAGATGTAATGACCACAAGTTAGAATGTGAATATATAAATATCTCTGTAAAGACTATTTACATGTGAAATATATATTTATAATTATTATTTTTCTAAATAATCCTCATAATCACCATTGTGGACACATAAGGTCATGTTTAAAACCACAACATTGTAAGTGGCTTTGGATAAAAGCGTCTGCTAAATGACTAATATATTGTAACAACAACAAACAGTTTCCGTGGGATGAGTTGAGACTCCGCTCTCCGGGCAGCCCTGACAACAAAACAAACGTACACGGATACAGCGATGGGCGTGACCAGACGATCGGATTGGATAACAGGATGTGAGTTGCGCTGTTTCGGGGTGAGGCGGTGCGTTCCGGGGTGCACAACTTTCTGCATGTTTGCGCAATTTCGCAGCGTTGTCATATATCCCGGATAAACCGAAACACAAGGTTTGAATTCGCGAGGCTCATCGGCGAACGTGTTCAAATCAGCGGAAATACCGGAGCAGGCCGCAGCACGGCACCGTTGTCACACTTCCACCGTCTCGCGTGTGGTTTACTCGCTGATGCGGGGAGAAAGTTGTGGACATTTTTTTTTTCCTGAGGTGCACGGTCGTACGGATACAGTGTGCAACATTGCAACTACAGCGTTAACGAGCCTCTCCAGCCTGTCCTGATTTTGGATTATGTGTTCGTGGGATTGTAAACACGCCTGTTCGCCATATTGTGCGCTGTGAAACTCGAGGGAAAGTTGTACGAGTTATGACATTTGCTGCGCACAATCCCTTCATGGAGCTGCATGCAGTCGACTTTGATCGGAACCAAAGTGACTCCATGGAACTGGCCATGGAGAGTTCCGTGCACCATTAATAAGGTAGCCGATCTAACCTACACGGTGTTTAACTAATGCTCACTATTCCGCTGTCTTGCCTAACAGTACTCAACTCTCCAGGCGCTTCCTTATTGTTGCTTTTTTTTAACATAACATCACAGGCTTTCGCACGGGGCGATTGCACGAGCCCCTTCGTTTCCTGTATTTCTTGTTATGCCAAATGGCAGCTACACAGTAAGCGCCTCCTTGTTGCTGTTGGCCGCAGCTTCAAAACTTCTTCAGCTCATAACGTCCCGTCTGCATGCACTCGGACGTAAACATCGACTTATAGGTTTTGCTCCTCCAGCGTTTGCATCAACAGACATACTCTGAGTGATTTTCACTTTACTGACTGAGCGAGTTGCTCGTGTAGGCCTCAATTTCCTCTTTGCTGCATACGAGTGAAAGGCGACTGAAAAAATGTGAGTGCTTGTCTTCAGAGAAAAAGAAAGTGTCTAACCACTCCTTTCTCTCACAAGGTCCGGCACCATAAAGAGGATGAGAAGAGAGGACAGCAAACCTCAGATTTGATTCTGGAAGGAGGTTGCATGCTCCCTCCCACCCTGCACTTTCCTTTGGGATTTGTATTTCCTCCCAAATACCTCCTGTATACACAATTGAACAAACATATCCTCAACCACAGGCATTGAAAGCACACTACAGAGGCAGTAACATTTTTGCACGCTCAAGAGATCAAGATTGAGAGTTCTGACTCCAACATTACCGTATATTACTATGAGTCTTCCTTCTCAAGTTAACACTGACAAGAGCGGCAAGCATCGGGCTGCAGCCATGAAAGAGCCCGTGCAACATTCAGGGGAGGTTTATTATGGTATGGGACCTCCCGCTTTAGAGTCAAGCCACAGTGACTCTGCTAGCAGTTCTGGTGTTTACAACCCCGAGAAAGGGCCTCAAAGACTACCGCACTATCAACAGGCTGCTCCAGTAAAGTGGGTGCCCCAGGACTCCGCACAGGCCCCCGGCTGGTCTCAGGAAGCTCCTGTTCAAGCCTGGGGGCAGAACTTTGGCCCCTATATGAGTGGAGTGAATGTCAGGGGTCAAATGGCGTTCCACAAAGGAGTCCATGAGGGTGTAGCTCTGCCAATCGCGGGAGAAAATCAACTGCCAGGGCCAGTTGAGGTTTACAGAGATGCCACCCAGGCTCAAACTCAGGGGAGGGGGCTCGAGTGGGAGCAGCATGCTGCGGCTGCAATGCACCAGGCTCAGCTGCAGGCTTATCAAAACGCCCACAAAGGCGTGGAGCTTCAGGGTCAGCCCCATGTACCTTCTCACACTTTGCAGGGGCCCATGTTGCAGCCCTTCCAGACAACATTTAGGCCCGGCAAGCAACAGTTTTCATCAGGTTATTACTCTGTTTTTCCAGGCAACAAGGGAGTGCCGAGTCTGGCGTACGGCGAGCAGCCTAAAACTCAACAGCAGCTGCTACAGCAGATGCAGCAGCAGCAACAAATGCATCACCATCACCAGCAGCATCAACAACAGCAACAGCAACAGCAGCAGTTGCAGCAGCAGCATCACCTTCAGTTGCAACAGCGGCAACATTTGCAGCAGCACCAAATCCAACAGCATCAAATGCAGCAACAGCAACAACTGCAGCAAATGCAGCAACAATATCACCAGCAACAGATACAGGAGCGACAGCAACAAATGCAGCAAATGCAGCAGCAGCAAGTGCAACAGCAAAATGTGCCACAGCAAGAAGCAACACAACCACAGGTGCAACCAAAACAGCAACAAACCCAAAACTTTGTGACTTCTCTGCCTCCTGAGCCCGGTCCACCTATCGGCGCTCCTAACAAGGAGGAAGTCCAGTCAGTGGAGCTGCAGCAGGAACCAGAGGCTCAAACCTGTGAGGCGTCACCCGTTCCTGATTCATGCCCCGAAAAGCTCGCCACAAATCCTGACGAGTCTTCAGATGCACAGGCTGCCCCTCGGCGTTCACGTCGCCTCTCCAAAGATGGACAGTCCCCGCTGGGACTCCCTTCGACGAACATCTGGTCCAAAGATCCCCCACCATCCCTGAACGGAGTAGCAGGCAGTCAGGCTGCGAAAGGAGGGGAGGTGACAACCGGAGGGGTCATTCGTCGGAGAAGGAGGGCATCTAAGGAGATCAACTTGGAGACTCTGGCCCAGAAGGCATCAGAAATGGAGTCCCTACCTTCTAAGATGGTCAAGGTTAAAATCACTCACTACACTGCCACTGTAATTATATATTTTTGGTGTTTTTTTAAGGCAAAATAGCCATTCAGATGCTTGATTTAGGCCCAGTTTAGTAGAGCAAGAAAGACAAAAGCAGATAATCTATGCATGTAAGGGCAACTATTCATCTGGCAAAGTTGTCGAGCAGCTGCACAAAGAGGAAGAAGCTTGTTTCTATGCAGAACTTCCCTTCTCGCTTACAAAATCCTTTTCGTAGGTCTGTTAACTTGATTCCTACAGCTGTTGAGCCCCTGCTATAGCAGGCTGTATAACCAGTGTGCACAGTCATACTATACATGTCATGCACTAGATACAGATACTGGTGCAACCTGAAAAATGTCTATTATTGGAGGTACAGTGGCACACTCAATGAAACCGGCTTCTTCATTTTCTGTCAAGCAGTTTCGTTAAATAGACACCAAGCACATAAACAAATTTAACTCTGGTTTTGTCAGTGTTTTCTAAGCACAGGGATGTCTAGTACTCTGTACCCTCAGGGGTTCTAAGGCTTGTGCTTGGTTTTTTGTGCAGAGTGCGCGTGCAGGACGTACAGTTAGAGCAGCTGCATGTCTGCACACCTCCACATTCCTTAGCCTCATTCCCAGTCATTCAGCAGAGCTAGGGAGGGGCTGAGTTGTCAACTGTACACTCCTAAAATCCCCAACACACACCAAACCGGTATTGCTGTTTCAAAACCCAGTGCTGGTGTAGTGTGGTTAACAAGCAGCATGTTTGAGGGTTTATCAAAAATATTGTTATGTATTAATTTATTATAAAATAATTTAATGGCAGACCTAATATAATTTATTTTAAATACAAAATATATATTTTATTCAGGAAGAAAATTAATTAATGAGACCATATCCTTCTTTTTATATCTAACCTCTTTTCCGTTTTCCCTGCTTCTTTTCTGAATCTCTGTGTAACCTTCTCTTTTCCCTCTCTCCTCATCTCCGCCTCGTTGCTTTGGTGCCTCGGCAGGAAGACGGTTCTTCAGGCAGACAGGCCTCTATGGTGCCTTTGGTTATCCCCGTGTCAGTGCCAGTGCACAGGAGTCAAACGGATCTTCAGGGTGGCTGGACTCAGGGACGACTCGGCCAGGGTGAGCGGCCTGCAGGACTGTCCGATCGCAAACCTTCCGTCATTGTGGCTCGTCGGCGATCACTCAGAAACCCCATGACTGAGAGTTTTGGTCAGGTTAGTAAGGAGATGACATTTGCATTAGCACACTCCACAATGAGGTGTATACAGAAGTCATGGTTCTAGATGTTTATTCCGTCTCAGACTACTTTACATTAGTACCTCAAGATCCTTGAGGTGCACAGAAGCCTGCCTTTGAGCCCAGAAAACCTCCACTGGAAACCAAGTTGACATGTTTGTGGTTTAGATGATTGTGTGACTCATTAACCCTCCAAAACAGCTCTTTTAAACCAAGTGTGTAAGTGAAGTCTCATTCAGCCAGTACACAATGTCATGGTTATTAAGATGTGACAGTGTTTTGGGGACAGCCCCCATGTGTGTCCATTTTGAAAATAAGACCAATGACAGCCCAGCAAGTGTGATGCTTTGGTCCAATCAGGTGTGGGGGAAAGGTCCAGGTGCCTTAAAGTCCTGGTTTATTTGGCGACAGCAAACACTTCATGAGCAGCTTCTTTGTCAGAAATTCAGCAGAAAGAACTTAAGTTGTTTTAATAAAGAAGCCAATGAATAATATTAGTAACCACAATCTGATTACATGCCATGCACACAGCGAGAAGATTTCCACACAACAATGGGGCTCAGTATAAGTGGGTAACCTTGCAGTGTGTCACCTGCAGATCTTCATCTAAGAGGTTCGTCATTACGCCGTGCGATATTTAAAACTGATCCACGGTTCGAAAAATACAGAAAAGTAGCATTGAACAACTTCGTAACTGACATGCATTAATAATGGGAAAGTAAGTTACAGCAAATGCACCTACAAGTACGCCATGCTCCGTAACAGCAGAACAACTATAACTTTTTTGTCCTTCTGTTCTAGGGTGGGGAAAACGATCCAGGGCTGGACGAGGATGGAAAATCCAAATTTAAGCGCCGACCTCGTCCAGAGCCTCTCATCATCCCTCCGCACAAACCAGCCACCTTCATCCCGCCATCCCTCTACTCCAGCATCTCTTCCTACCAGAGCAACCTGCGCTCTCCTGTCCGCCTGCCGGACCACCCCCTCACCATGCCCCCCTACACGCCTCCACCCATCCTGTCTCCCGTGCGTGAGGGCTCGGGGCTCTACTTCTCCGCCTTCCTGACCAACATCGCTGTAAGCAACCAAATCCTGCCACCCCCGCCTACGCCCAAATCTGCGACGCGCAGTCTGTTGTGCTCCAGTAAGTCCCAGTTGTTGCTTCTATGAGACGAATTCTACTTAATGTGGCCTTCTCAGATAATGTGTGAAAAGGAGATTTCTTTTTGTATTTTCAGCAAGTTCAGATATCACACCTCCTGTTCTGCCCTTGATGACTGATGCCACACCTGCTAGCCTTGAGCCGTAAGTACAGTCACCTAAACAGGTTTTCAATATCTGGCCCAAAATACAACTTCTCCTTTATCATAAATGTACTGACATCACCAGAACTCTCTCTCTCTCTCCCTCCTTTTTTTTTTTTTTTTTTTTTTAAAACTTGTTCAGACGTATCAACATCGGGCAGCAGTACCAGGCAGAAATTCCCGAGTTACAGGATCATCCTTCCTCCCAGTTTGTCCAGCACAAGGCTGACTTGGTTTGGCTCCCTATGGACGACTCTCACCTCAAACACGGTGACCAAGAGACCAGTCAGTATCTGACATCAGCCATTCCCTGACTGTTGTTATTATTTTCTTTCTGTGAGATTTTTACCACCTTCTCATCCACGCTAATTCTTTCAAAATGTCATCATTTTCTCTTCTTTTTTTTTTTTTTTTTTTTTGTAGTGGAGGATATGATGAACATGGCTTGTTGCAGTGTGCTGATGGGCGGAGGAACCAACCAGGAGCTGGTTTTACACTGTTTACACGAATGTGGAGGTGACTTCCTTGTGAGTATAGTGACTCATAACCAGACACTCAACTATCTGCAATCCAGTTAGCAGCAGGACAACTTTAGAAGACTTGTTTTCTAGTGTTGGGTAACACTGAGCTTGTTAAAGAATGGATTGTTCACTGATGATTCATGTTGATTTTTAAGGAAACTCTTGGATGTTTGATGCTTCAGGACCCAGTTTACCCCAAAGGTCACCACCTGGCAGGTTATCACTACTCAGGTGAGCATCGACATCGCAGTAAAATAAAAGTGGTTTTGATGTAAATCACTTCGATAAACTCATAAATTCTCTGACTGTCTTGGTCTCTTCATCTTCCTCCTTCTGTCTCTTATTTCCTAACCTCTCTTTTATGTTTCCTCAATTTGCACTGTGTCTGATTCACTCACAGGCTCCGATTGCTGGACTGCAGAAGAGAAGTGCTACTTCAATAAGGGGATCTCTGCCTACAGGAAGGACTTCTTTATGGTGCAGAAATTGGTACGCTTGTTAATTTCACCCCGCAGCATGAACGATTATGAATCAAAGTAAATGCATTTGAATGTGCTCTGTGTAGCATTTCAACACAAATAAATCCGTAGCACATTATCTATGAGGCATTGGTGTACAATTGATCTAAACAAACTATCAAAGTATAGATTTTCAGACGTTTACGCTCCTGTTTTTAAATTTTACAATATGAGGCCCGATTCTGATGTAATGGAAAATGTCCTTTTACTTTAATCACAAACAGCGTTAAAACCAAATGAGTTACGATCATGCAATAAAGACAAAAATTTGACTAAACGCACTACATCCTCTATGTGAAAGGAAGTAGATTTATGGGAAATGTCTTAATTTCATAGAAACATTAACAGCAACAATACCAGTGGCATGAGGCGGAGGCTGCCACTCATCTGAAGCTTGTTTTTCGTCAAATTGTGTCATAAAATGGACATAAATAATTTGCATTTAATTGAAAGATGCATCTCAGTGAAAAAGGTCAATTCATTATATTAAATTCTGCATGTGTTTACTTTTTTCAAGGTGCAGACCAAGACTGTGGCTCAGTGTGTGGAGTTTTACTACACGTACAAGAAACAGGTGAAGATCGGTCGCAATGGGATTTTAACCTTCGGCCCTCCAGATTCACCTCTGGAGAGGAGCACAGAGGCTGTGGTGGACGTTAAGGTAGAGTGGCTTTATAACCTGGCTTTGAATGTACCATCGCGATGTGTGCTACAGCATTACAATGAAGTTAATGTTAGAGATTCTGTTTGCCAAACAGTATTTTCATAGACTGGCTTAGGTTACAGGAAATATGTGATCGTTTTGTGAATTTTTCAGGGACACCAAATCATCTTTTTGTATTGTTCTGTTGTGATTCGTTACAGAGTTCCCAGCGGTCAAAATATATTCAAGGAGAGACAGATGACGATAAGAGGGATGTTTCTTACGAGATCAGCCATCAGGCGAGGGTTGCTCAGTCACTACAGGCCCATGACTATGTAAGTGTTTCCCTACATATGTCTAATAGTTCACCTCAGACCACATTGACTATTATCACAATCGGGTTTAATAAATGTATGTATGACGTAAAAAAACTGCAAAACTAACAACACTTATTCGTGGTGCTCCAGGCAGGAACACTGCTGGTGATGAAAGAGCCGGACCCTGTGAACAAGGAGGCTCTCCACCCGTCGGCACCTCACAGACCTCCAGCCGAGCCTGCGGCAAAGAAGAGCAGAGCACCGGCGAAGCCCCCGCCGGATCCTGATGCAATATTTCCATGCAAGAAATGTGGCAGGTATATCAGAACCATCAGAGATTTGTCTTTGTTTATAACTTCAGTTTAGTCGACGCTGTAATCTTCTATCAGATATCAAACTGCTGTTATTGTGTGTAATGTTGCGTAATTGTCTTCCATTTCCTATAGGGTGTTTTATAAAGTGAAGAGCCGAAGTGCCCACATGAAGAGTCATGCGGAGCAGGAGAAGAAGGCGGCAGCGTTGCGTCAGAAAGAAGAGGAGGAGCAGGCAGCAGCTGAAGCCCGGGCCCGGAAGGCGGCGGCGGCGGCGGCAGCAGCAGCAGCGGCGGCGGCGGCTAATCTGCAAGGAAATGGTAACGGAGTGACGGAGGAGGCAGAGGTCAGCAGCCCGGAAGACTCATCTGAGGGAGAGGATGACAAGGATGAAGACTGGCACTAAGGGACAAAAATCAGGAGAGCGGAGAAAAGAAACCAATGAGAAGATGGATTGATGGGTAGCGATGTCCCGCCTCACCGAGAGCAGAATAAAGACAAGAGAAATGTTTTTCAAGTCTTCCTGTTAATCTTCACACTCCTTCCCCAGCTGACGCTGACTCTGATTGACCGTTCTCCACCAACTAGCCAGTCACACTCCACAGCTTCACACATTTTGTATCTTTTAAAAATTCAGAGGAAGTTTATTTTTTTGTAAATGCACTTATCCCGAATGCTTCTGCTTTTGCCAATATTGCCTTTTTATATCCATTATTTAATTGAATTTAATGTCAAAATATTATACATTTACATGGTGTGGACTTAATGGTTATATGATATTTCATAAGATAATCAGAATGCCTGTTGAGCAACAAATCAAGATCAAAGCTATCTTTCACTTAACAGTATCAGTCCTTTTAAATAAAGATAGAGTAGGGGCTTGTATTTATCTTTTTTTTTTTGGAAAATACTGTGGTGAGTTTTGCAGAATTTCCCTCAGATTTTTAGTTTGGTTGCACACTTATTTTGTACAACTAAGGGACCTTTTGAAATGAATATGTACAAAAAAAGATATATATGAGATGGCCATATATTTATGATACTGCAATTTTTGCAATGATTTTGGTAATGTAAAAACTAATCATGTCTGCTGCAATAAGACTTGTGAATTGAAAAGTTTATTAAAATCTCTACTGTTCAGTGAAGTGTCTTTATTTTTTCAATCAGGAAGTGGTTAGTGTATGGATGCAAGACTTCGTTGATCCAGCAGGTGGAGGCAGTGGTTCATTATTTTGCAGAATATTTCTTTGTATGTAGATAATAGTTGTCAGTATAAATTAAGCTTGGCTGAAATTCTTTGCAGATCCATTTGTCATTTTACCAGATTATCTCTTTAAATGTTAACATTTGAAGTCTTGCTTAAAATGCTGTCATTACACTGACATCTATATCTACTGAGCAAGATTTACCACCATCAAATATAACTCCAAATACTCTACTCATAGGTCTGATTCAGTATGCTAGAAATGTTCCATCATTTTTAGATTGAGTACCGCAAAGCCAAACTCGTCTTCAGACAGAAATGTTGAGAAATAACTCAGCCATTTAAAGAGTGTGCTCAGTCAAGGGAAGTGTAGCCTGTCGCCCTCAGGAGATGAGATGCAAGGCATATTGCTCTGAGATCACGGAGGACGAAATGTCCCCGTCTCCCACTTCATCACTGACCTATCAAACCTGGTCTGCTCTCATCTACTTTTATGGCAGAAACTAGCTGGAGAAGCCAGTTCACACATGTGCTACTTGAGCCAAGAGGAACATCCACTGACTTTGCTGCTTTATGTGGTCCTTAGTCATCATCTCTCTGTCTGTAGTTACATTTTACTTTCTGTAGCTTGTATTTCAATACAGAGGTGCTTTGAGGTAAATGCTAACATCAGCATGCTACAATAACAATGCTAACATGCTGATCTTTACAATGTTTCCCCTGTTCAGCATCTAGCTTGTTAGCATGCTAACTTATGTTAATTAGCACAAGACACAAAGGGCAACAGAGGCCAATGGGAATGTCATTAGTGTTATAGATGTTTGGTCATAAATATTTTAAATTGTTGACCAGATTGTAGTGCTACATGGCCACATTTAGGGACTGTGTGGAAATGATTGGTGTGGGTAGGTGGGGTAATTCTTATATTTAATTTATTTTAAAGTAAGATCCTCCACAACATTATATTTTCTTTGGACCCTCCCCCTGAAAAGACTGCAACACCCTTTGCACAATATTGACAAAATCACTACTAACATTAACAAAAGACGTTAAGAATGTAAGATGGATGAACTTGACTTTTATTACAGTTAGCTTTATGTTGCACTTTTTGTTTTCTTTATGTTATGCATCATAATTAGGCAGAATAAAGAGAAAGTTGGAATAACCGTTGGTTAATGTCCACAAAGATCCAGTGTATTCTGTAAACTGACATTGGTACTATTAGTTACCGATTGATCCGAGACAGTATCTTCGTCCTCTGTCCTCCGCAGACTTCCCCTATTATCATAATGATATAATATTTCTCTTCTTAAAAAATAAAATAAATGCACAACTCTTTTCTGATCCCCAAGTACTTGGTACAGCCCCTTACATGTGGTTGGGGAGGATTGAGATACATTTTCCAGGACCTGCAGACTTTTAAATGAAAGTTTAACTGAAGAGACACCAAGTGATTTTTGTGCTATGGTGGTCTATTCCTCATGACAATTAGCAAAGGATAATGATCCTTGGGCTTATGAAATCCTTTCTTTGAATTGTTAAATTTTGGAAATTTACAGTCGACAATGTAAAAGTGTGGCTGCCTGTTGTTGACCTGCTGTCCACATTAGAGGTGTAGTGTTTGCAATGAAATGTAACCAACAGGGTGGTGCATTCAATGTCCTCAGAGGGTCCTCTTTAGCTTGGAGCTTGTGACAGAGCAATGGAGGTTTACAGTGAGGATCAAATGTATTTCCTGAACAGTGGCCCTACTAATAAAGCCCCATTAGAAACCAAGCTTCATGGGCACAGTAAAATAGGTTAGGGATAGAGGAGAAGATGAAGACCATGATGCAGACCGGTGTTGAGAGATGGAGAAAACTCTGGATCAATGTCACTAAGTGTCTTGAAGGCAAATGATAAGATCAATGTTTCTCCTCCAGCAGAGCCGAGGTTAAATCTGATGCAAAGCAGAAATGTACATTAAGATTTATGTTCAGCCACTAAGCAATACAACTTTGATCTTTCTCTGGGCGTGACCGAGAGGCTGCAGGTCAATGTCATTCTTACAGTTAGTAGGCTAGGAAGAAACATGAGCCACAGCATACAGCATGTTCATGTTCCACCATCAAGGCTCTTTCTTAATTTGTGGGGTTAAAAGTAAGAAAATCAATCACCAGAACTGTGGAAATAACCGAAATGATTTTTTTTACAAGGATTTTGTTAAACAGTAATTCAATGTGTCTCCTTTGTTGGTTTTTAGTTTGTTGCATGTTCACTCCAGAAAAGTGACAAAAGTCAACATATGAAGGGTTGTTAGTAAGCAGCTTGCATCTTGAAATAAATGTTAACAACTTCTGGTAATCCTGTCACCAAAAAATACATTAAACCACATATTTGCAACAGCTCATAAGATTAACGTAATGTAGGTTAAGGTTACGCTTACTTTTTGAAATGTTAAATGTCTGCAAAGTCGCACAATGTTGATATTAAACGTATCTGCAAAAACGTTCACTGTCAAAGTATTACGTTTTCTCTACAATATCCGCTAAAACTGACTAAACTTATTTTATGGTTATGCTAAGGCTCTCACATCTCTTGGTAAGGGAGAATAAAACTTCTAAATACTACTTCTAAATATTTTTTTGCTTTGAAGTTTGATTGGCTGTGGCTAAGTCTTGCCTTATTTTATGTTTGTACAAAACTGGTAGTAGTGGGCTATAGTACGTACTGTATGTAGTGTGGAAAAGGGACACAGCGCTAGTTTCGATTGGCTTCTAATATTTAAAAAATCCTTAAGTAAATATAATTCAGTACATTTACTGAATTTAAAATAGAAAACCTTCAGTCAGCTTGGTAAACACATTATAGAAGTGAAGCTGCTTCTCTTCAACAGTAGGCATTCGACTGCATGTAACATGCGCAGTCTCTCCAGCATTGCTTACATCGAGTCCTTGACGCCAAACCAAAACCGCTTCATGTAATGACAATAGCGGCCATATAAGTGACAAACCACTCGGCTCAATTTCAATGTGTGGTCAATGGCCTTGAGGAATGTAATCATGCCATCTTGACCTGGGACACCTCTTGCTTCGATTGGTTATCTGTCAGTCATCTTTACCGACAGCTCTCCGGCATTATACAGGTTCAGTGCAGTGAACGAGCCATACGCTCTGCTGTAGTTCAGCTGCTACTCCATCCTCACACTCCAGCGCACATAATGGAATTAAACCCATCTGTCAGTATTTCAGCGGGAGTCAGCAGCATTACTCGCTCACGGGTATGCAAATGGCCCTCGACCATGGTCCATTCATCTTTGGTGCAGGGAGGTTGTGATGCTTTAGAAATACGAGCTGCTGGTGACTGACACTGGCATGTTTAGTGAGATCTGTATCACTGCTCATTTTAATGGAACATCTATATCTTGGCCCTAATCTATACCTTGAAGTGTTGCCTCTCCTTACCCTACAGCAAGATGAATGTAGTACCTTGTCCCAAGTCCATCAAATCTGCCCTGAGGGACAACATTGAGTTCCAGCTGCTTAAAGAAAATGATCGGAATTACGCTTATTCTCATTCTTTCTCAAGATTGATACCACTCTTATTGTGAGAGAGGTATCGATCTTCTCATTTTACTCTCGGCATGAAAGAGAATAAGCGTAATTCTTAAAATGTCTAACTATTCCTTTAAATATGTTCCTGTGGGGTGCTGTGATGTGAAGGGTTAAAAGTAAAGCAAGAAATGGGGGCTGGATTTGGGGCCCCCAAATCACTAAATCCGGCCCTGAAAAACACACCCAGGTTGGAGTTACTCGCGGTCAGAAACATCGATGAAAAAGGCAACACTTAGCAGAGGTACAGACAGACATACAGAGGGAGATTCCTTACTTTATGTTTAGATTAGATATAATGCAACCACCAGGTGTGGAGGATGAGGGAATGAGAACTTAATCTAGCTGAAACACATTTAAACAGAAGGCTTTAAATCACTGCAGCAACAATACAATGGAAGCTGTGCTCATTCGCCCGTCCTCTTCCCTATAATAAACTCAATTTTGTTTATTACAGGAGACTCCTCCTTTGTTATGACTCTGCAAAATAAGCAAATTGGGTGGCCACCTTGCTGAAATCTGAAATGAGCCGGGAGTGAGAGAGCTGGTGGCTGTAGCCAAATGCACTCACTCACTGTAAGTGCTCTCAATTCAGTCCTCATTTCCTGACTCCTGCCAATCTTCCCATGAGAGAACAAGAACTTTTGGCCCACTCTCAGTAAGCCAAACGCTTTAACAAAGACAGCTTATATACAAGGTCACTATTTACTGCTTGCACTGCAATAAAACTGCTTTTCTTCACTAGAAACGGGGAAAGGAACATCACAGAAACACATTTGCAAGGAATAGTAACCTTGTCATACATTTTTAAAGGTGCTTCTTAAATATTTATCACATAAGGATGCTTCAGAAGGTGTCACACCATTACAGGGAAGTATACTGTATGTTGTTTATGAAATGTGCTGTAAAAATAAACTTGTCTTGCCTCAGACACTCTTTCTCCATCATGGAGCAATCAACATGCCAAGGAAGTATCTACAATTGTGTGAAAAAGTGTTTGCCCCCTTCCTGATTTCTTATTTTTTGCATGTTTGTCACACTTAAATGTTTCAGATCATCAAACAAATTTAAATATTAGACAAAGATAACACAAGTAAACACAAAATGCAGTTTTTAAATGAAGGTTTTTATTATTAAGGGGGAAAAAAAAATCCAAACCTACATGGCCCTGTGTGAAAAAGTGATTGCCCCCTAAACCTAATAACTGGTTGGGCCACCCTTAGCAGCAACAACTGCAATCAAGCGTTTGCGATAACTGGCAATGAGTCTTTTACAGCGCTGTAGAGGAATATTGGCCCACTCTTCTTTGCAGAATTGTTGTAATTCAGCCATATTGGAGGGTTTTC